GTCAGGTGCCTCCTGCCTGTTCCTGGGAGTCAGGGAAAGCTGTCCAGCCTCCTGGCTCAGCACTGGCCCTCACAAAGGGCTTGGGAGTGCTTTCCCTTGCTGACCAGTCCTCACCACCCTTCAGCCTTGGTGCATCTCTGGCTCTAGAAAGACCAAAGCATTTCTGGAAAGGAAGCAAAGGCAAAGGAACATCTTTTTTCCTGGTGTCTTCTACGTGCAATAACTGGCTGGCTGCAACGGAACCAGAATGTGTCCTGCCCTTGGGGGGGTTGGGCACATCTGGAGCAGCAGCAGCTCAGTGGTGATTAACTTGTCACACTGTAATGCCCCGTGTTGCTCTCAGGGCAGGGGTGAAGGAACCTCTTGGTGCTGAGCAGCTCCTCTGTGCATGTGGAAGTGGATTGCTCTGTGTCAGTGGGATAACCCAGAGTGACTCTGGTTGTGTGAAGTTATTGTTGCTTTGCATGAAAATCCCAAAGGCATACAAAGTTGTATTTCAAAGTTATAATTTATTTTTTTTTGCTCCTGCCATGCAGCAGCACAGAGCATCTTCTGCCTTTTACAGGTGTTAATTGTTTAATTTAAAAACAACTCAGCCTTCTGTAAGAAAGGAGATTGCTCATGTGTTTCCACCTTGCTTTCTTGCTGCTGCAGGCAGTCCTGGTTAACAAAGGGCCTATTGAGGGTCTCTTCAGCCTCCTCCCTCCAACTACAGCTGTGGGCTCCTGCTTCACCTTTCTGCCCCAGCAGGGCATCATTCCACCAGATGGGCTCCAAGCCATCAGCATCTCCTTCCGAACCACCATCCCAGGGGAGTTCAAGGAAGAATTCCATTTCAATGTGGCTGAATGCCCTAAGCCTGTGACCTTGACTATCAGGTGAGGAGGGCTCTGGGAGCTTGGTGGGCACATCTGTAGCTGTCTCTGGGTAATCATCTCCCACCTGCCTCATTTGGTGGTGGAGCAGAGAACAAAGGTGTTGCCTGAGGTCTTAGTCTTGGCTCTGATGCTGGCAGCCCCTTGGTGTGGGGATGCCTTCTGCCCAGTGCAGGTACCAGGAGCTGGAATGACTCCTTCCTGCAGGGATGTCTCTCCCCCTTAGGCTGTGGCAGGCAATGGGATGGCATGAGCTTTGGGCAGTAACTGGTCTGGGATGTCCCACCTGAACACCCAGCAAGGCCCCCAGGGCTTTGGAGATGGGCCAGCCTGGGTGATTCTGGGGAGCTCTGCAGCAGGGACTGTCACAAGGGCTTGGGCATCATCCTATGGGCTGGTGCCACTGCAAAAGATAATCCTCATCAAGCAGAGGGCAGAGGTGGGGAAAGAAGAAAAAAAATTATGATGGGAAAAGCAAAGCTCACTTCTCAGAACCACAGCAGCATGAGGGCTTGTCCCAGATAGCCTGTTGGCTGCTGCCCACTTTTCTTTGGCTGCCTCCTGTCCACGCAGATGCTGTGCTGAGCACAGGGTGGTGAGTTGATTTGGAACCCATGGTGGCTCTGACAGCAGCTTTCATCCATTCAAGGGGTTGTGAGAGCTGAACACTTTGCAATTCCCTTTAACCCAGCCGTTGCCTCCTCTGTCTTTGTCCTCACAGGGGCTATGTCATCGGACCGACTTTCCATTTCAATGTACGCGCCCTCCACTTTGGTGACGTCTCCTTTGGTGAGTGTGCCCAGGGTTTGGACCACAGTGTGAGAGGTCTGTGTGTTGCTGAAATGGAGCACTTGAGCCTCAGAGGATCTGTCACTTGTGTTCCTCCACAGCAGCCTTAAGGGTGCCGACTCCAGGGCTGCTGGTGGCTCAGGCAGCATTTTGCCATCATGAGGTCAAGTAGGACCAAAGGAGTAGAAAGTCAGTGTCCCTGCTCGGCCACTTCTCAATTTCCTTTTGAATGAATAAACCAACAAGAAAGGCACCAGACAGGAATATTGTTACATAATAGGAGATTCATCCTGCTTAATCTGATTTCATTCCCAAGGCCTCTTCAGCTGAAGGCAGCTGTTGTATCTTTGCTTATTTTAACTGTGCTGCTGACTGTTGTCTGCATCTGGTGACCTCAGTCTCATTTGGGATTGTGACATCTGTGTTGGTCCTTTTTGTGCCCCTCCTGCCTCCCTGCTGGAGTCACTGCTGGAGCTGGGCAGTGGTCACTGTTGATGGGCACAGAGAAGCTCTTGGCTGTGCCTGCAGTTGGTTTTTCCTCCCCCTCTGTGTTCAAAGGACGCTTGGTAAGCAGGCCCTGGGAGATGTGTCCTCCCCACAGAGCTGGCCAGCCAAGACAGATGTCCAGTGCAGAGCAGGTTGTGGCCTGGTGTCCTGGCTCT